AGAAGCTTTTTATGTTACATATATATAAACTATACACACAAAAAAGAAGAATGTAATAGAGTAATATGATAAAAAAAACTTTCAATGAGAAAACGTAAAGGTCTTTATCAGCACACATCCTTTACGATAAATGCGATATTTATGAATAAAGAATAATTATCCTAAGATAAAAATTACTCTTTATAATGTGTCTATATCGCTGAAAAGTAAAAGTGCAGTTGAAATTGAGATTGAAGCAAAATAAAGCAGAAAACAAAGTTACCGGCATGGAGCAAAAGTAAAAAATGTTTTTAAAATAGATATACTAATTTAGCAGTTAACAAAATTTCGCGGAAGAAAAAAATAAAATACAGTGCTTTATTGCTTAATTCGTACATACTAATTTTAAAAATATATTTGGTAGAAAAAATATGAAGCAAATAACATATTAGTGCTGCCATCTATGAGAAAAATCTAGTTATCAAAAATAATTTGGAAAAATGTTTTAATAAAACCCTTTATAGGAAGAAAATTTTATTAATAATAGAAAAAAGTTGAAATTAATTTTAAAAAAGTTTAACTTTTAGAATAAATAAATCAGAAAACATTCCAAATAGGTAATCATTTGTCCATTTTTAGACTTTTAAATTACACCCGAGTTAGTACACGGAGACAGGATAGCTCGGCCAATGCCCGAGAGGTCGTGAGTTTGATCCCTGCTGACCGAAGACCCTCCATGTACAAAATAGTAACTAGTGCATACTGAAATCTGTCGGGTCACAAAGTCCTCCAACCTCCAAGTTCCCATAAAAAATCAAAGTAATTTGGAAAATTTATTTAATAAAACCCTTTATAGGAAGAAAATTTTATTAATAATAGAAAAAAATGGAAATTAAATTAAAAAAAAGTTTAAATTTTAGAATAAATAAATCAAAAAACATTCAAAATAGGTAATCATTTGGCCATTTTTAGACTTTTAAATTACACCCGAGTTAGTACACGGAGACAGGATAGCTCGGCCAATGCCCGAGAGATCGTGAGTTTGATCCCTGCTGACCGAAGACCCTCCATGTACAAAATAGTAACTGGTGCATGCTATAAATCTGTCGGGTCACAAAGTCCTCCAACCTCCAAGTTCCCATAAAAAATCAATATTTCTAAGGATACTGGATCAGAGATTGATCATGCTCTATTTCAGTTCAAAATTCCAATTTGCGGATGGGTGAAAGTCGTATGATCCTCATGGATGTTTTTCCGATCATAGCCAATAGTGCGACGTAAATAAATGTACCAAACGGGATTTGATCGTGTCAGTAAAAAGCATCTAGAAGCTAATATTTCTTTGAAAGCTGTAAGCTGATAACACAGTACTGATTAGAAGTTTCATTTTACCAATGGCAATTTCTTTTAATTTAAAAGTGCGGAAAAAGTAGTTTTCTTTGTAACTTCGTTTACATTGCTAATTGTACTCATATGTGGTACAAAATTATGTATATATAACTTTTGCGTTTTTAGTATAAACAGTTTTAATATATATATTCCTTATGGCAGGAAGAGGTATTATTTTATTTTTAGCTAAATCACTAAACGAAAAGTTACTTTCGCTTTGTATTTGAGTGTTGTGTTCATATTTTTCTGCTTAATAATATTTAATTTTATTTTGCTTAAGCATTCCTTCTATTATTAGTACGATTGTAGTTTTTTATTTCCTTCTTTTCTGCATCTTTCAAATATAGTTTTGTATCTTAAAGTAGATTTGTAGTAGATTTGCATTTTTTTGTATTCCTCTCGTTCTAGAAATTCTCGCTTTCAATTAATTGTAGTGCCTCCATGACAGCTTTATCAAACACTGTACCGTAAATTAAATTCTATTAAGAATGAGCGTATTCCTTTTGAGATTTTTTAAACTACCTAAGTTCTGCTTACAAGTTTTCCAAAATTTTACCTGTATTTTTAAATTGCTTTAGAAATTGAAATATAGAATTTAACTGAGCAAACTTCAATATGATTGTTGCTTTTAATTCTATGAGAAATTTATGGTTATTGATTTATCAGTAATTTTTTTTATAATTTACTAGCTATTTTTTTAAAGCTGAGGTTGGCCTAAAAAAGTAATCGATTTTTGTTTTACTTTTTACAAACATTTTTAAAACAACTGAAACACTTTTTAAATGTTTTATGTTAACAAGCAATAGGTATGTAGGACGTTTAACATCTCATGGTGCGTAGCGTTTTTAAAGGTGCTTATTTCCAATTTTCGTTTTTTAAAAACACTTAAAGGTGCTTCTTTCATTAGGTTTTTTTACAAAGTGCCTAATCGGAGAGGAGATATTTTTCTTTACCGTGTCGATTTTAGCCACGTATTATGCAAAAGTGTGGTTTTCACATTGTACTATTAAAAGTTTTCACAATTCATTTCGGCCTGCCGTCGGTTCATAGCTTATCAAAGCGCCAATCATTTTACATACTTGATGAAATACTTGCGAGTCTGCATGTGCGTCTACTGAGCTAAGTTCGGTGAGATTCTAGCACTCTCATCTGCAACTCGGTGCATTTTGCAGGCTATTCTTAATTTCAGGGTTCGTTTTCCACCCTCTGAAATCGAACCGAAAAATCTCTCAGAATCGTCAGAAACTAGTTTTTTCGTGATCATGTAAAGTTTTTGAAAATTAGTATGCATTTTATTAATGTATATAGTGCTTGAAAATATTTCTTGAGTGCTTAAAAGGTGCTTATTTTTTGTTTAAAGATTTGGCTATGCGCCCTGCAATTACATAAAACACAATTATAATCTCGAAGCTTTTCATAGCAACGAAAATAGCTCTTATCTGTAAAATTAATTAATATTGGTTTTTCGGCATTGTGAGAGGAGTGTGACTGGTGCAAATCTTATATGCATTGCATAAAGTCATGAAACTACCCGTTGATCCCAATAGCTATGTTTTCATAGAAATTCAGCAAAATAAGAATCAAAGATTTGTTTGTATGACAAACATTTTGCTAGTACGATTTTTGCTTTATCTGACACTGCATGCTCTCAATTTTATTTGTAGGCTCACCAGTTTTGGAACTAATAAAATCTAATAAATTGATTGACACATTGTTGAAAATCTTTGTTTTAATGTGCAGTGAAATTTTTTCACTAGATTTTTTAATGTATATAAAAGTAATGAAATTTTTCGGCTGCCCCCCTCCCCATTTTTCAAAAAAAACTTTAGATGGCAGTTTTTTTTATTCCAGGAATTCCACAAGGTGGAAAATTTTATAAAACTCATTGATTCATTCATTCCAACCTGAAATAGAAGACAATTTAAATTTAAAGAAGCTATACTTTAATAACACTGAAGTGAAAAAAGATGATTTGATACTGAAACTGAAGTAAAAAATTTCAAATTAATTATCTATCATATTTTACAAGTTACGAACTGCATAGAATTTTTTTATTCAAATGTCAGCTTCTAAATACATTTAAGTTTACATTTAAATTACAAACAGATTTGCAGAGTTTAAACAGTTTCTAAGTGAGTAATCATTTCTTGCTTTCGTGCGATTTACATCCGACGCCAGTAATTTAAGCCATTTAATTTCATTTTATTTTAATCAGTTTTAATAAAACATTGTTTTCAATAAGTTATGATGTACTAAGTATTTAATATAAAAGTTTGATGATTATAAACTTAGCTTATGTTTTATAAGATAGTTTTTCTAAGAAATTTATGTTAATTTTTTACTTCAGACACCCTGAAGTAAAAAACTAAGAAGCCATGTAGTTAGATTGGAATTCCTTAAATATTCTAACTTCTAATAAGAAAAACAAAAAAGAATAAAATTTAAGAATTTTATCTTGGTTTTTTCTACGAAACATGCCACAAGAAATTTGACAATTTTGCCTTTGCGAATACTGAATGTCTCTTAAAATAATAGTACAAATACAGAACAAACAACATTATTTAAACATTTGACTAGATACTGGTTTAAAGGAAATTATATCAATGAATTTTATAAAGACCACTGTTTGGATAAAATACAGTATAAAATAGCTCTAAATTGAAATGTAAATTAATAAAAAAATTTATTGCTGTATAATCACCTGCAATTATTTTCTTTTGCTTAATAAAAATACATTAAACAGTACTTATCCAAGGTTTGTTTTGGGTCACTCTGTATTTGCTATTTTGTGCAAAAACGACTTAACACTTTAAAAAGAAAAATTTCATTAGAAGCAATATATTCTACTAGCTAAACATATTATTTTCTCCACATCTATTCAATGATATATTAAATAAATAGCATTTTGAATGAAATACTTTATAAAATTGACAATTTTCGTGTACCCACCTAAACTTTATAAGGGGAAAAAAACAAGCTGACCTGAAAATTTTAAGATTTTTACTGGAAAAATCAGTGAAATTTGAAACCTGATTTGAGTGACCACCGTGAAAGTAACAAATTATTATTTAAAGAAAAACACTATCTAATATCTTCATTTTTTTAGTTTAAAATTAGCAGGTGATTTGATGTATAGCCGAATTCCAAATAAACACTGGTTTTGTTTCAATTAGTAAAGAAAAAAATTATTAGTTTAAAAATAGTAGAAATCTATCCAATTATTATACTTTTGTGTATTGTTAAAAGTTTTTTTTTTTTAAAAGTAGGTACCTAATAATAATAAACTTTTCTTCATATATATAATTTTTTTTTTTCATTAAGAGTCAGAGGAAACGACAGCTTTTGTTATCACGATGACAGTGGTAGCATAAGGCAGAGTTCTTACGTGTTAAATCTTTATATTATCATAACAGCAGCTTAAATCATAGTTATGCTTTAGAAGAAACTAAGAATACTACCTGTGTAACAATGTATATTGCTCAGTCCTAATTGTATATGTCGAAAAGTGCTTTAAATATTTCTCTTTTTTTATTTAGCCTAATATTAATAAATATTTAATTAGTACTTAGTAGAATTAAGTACTTAATTAATAATACTAGGAACACATAATTTCTAATAAATATTTGTCATTATGTTATATTTTTAAGTCTTTTGATTGATATTTTTATAAATTTAGGTGGAGCTCGTAAGAAAACTGCCGCGAAAGGATATCAGTTGCCTGAGCCTATACCAGAAGGATATGAAATATCTGATACCACTAAAAAGAGCTGGCTTATTGGCACACAAATTGGATCTGGTGGTTTTGGGACTGTATACTTTGGTAGGTGCTTAAGAACGGTATATATGTATAACATATATTTGTCTGGGTGTGCCAGAAGTAACAAAACTATTGTCTTTGGTACTTTTTTTATTCTTTGTTTTGTAAAATACAACTACTTTCTTGGGAGAAAAAATTTTTGAGAAGCATGATGTAAAAAAAAAAAAAAAAAAAAAAAAAAAAAAAAAAAAANAAAAAAAAAAAAACACTAGTTTTTAAATATTTCTGGTGATTACTTTTAATATTTATTTAAAAGAACAAGGTTCAAATACAACTAATTTTCCTGATTGGTGTAAAGCTTATTGAAGTCTGTCTGAGGAACATAACTCTCTATGTGCAGGAAAAGATTAAAGAGATTTAGATGCTTAATGAAACCGCAAATATTTGATAATTTTTTAGCATTTCTTTATTCACTGTTAGAAAAGTAGAATGTTGAAAAGAAAAAATTAGTTAAAAAAAAATATTTGTAATAATAAATTAACTCTTCTAAACAATTTTTAAGAATTTTTTCGCTAGTGTAAATGAAAATATCTAGCATTATTGTCTCCTAGAAGTATTCAGGGCTGATTGTGCTCCGGAAAAAATCCGGATTTTTCGCTAACAATGATCCAGAAGTTTCCGGAGATCGAAGGTCCAGACTTTTCAAAAAATCATTGATCACAGAAGTTCCCGGAAATCAAATTTTCAAAAATGGAACTTAAAAACGCAGTTTATTTTATTTGTTTGTAAGGGTGAGCCAGAGAGATACTTAATAAGCGTATATTCATGATTAATATTCATTTTTTATCAGTAACTAGTTATTATAATCATAAACTCAGGAAAGAAAGACATATTTGTAAATTTTAATTACTTCTCCAGGTCATCATTGGTATATGTAAATGGTATAGAACTGATCTTNAGTATTTAAAATTATTGACTACATTTCAAGCCTAGTTAGGGAATATTCACATTTTAAAAAAAAAAAAGCTGTAGTTAATTACAACTACTACTATAAGATAGTTTTTTTCATTGGTAAAATTGAATTCTTGAACAAAATTTTGTATTTATAAGATTTTAAAGTAAATAAAGCAAATTTTTATATTAAAATTATTCTTTCTTATAATTTCTTTAAAGAGATGAGAAAAATCTAAATACGAATAAAAAAAATTTAAGATCCAACTAATCATTAAATCAAAAGTTATCTCTTTTTTTTTCTCACTGTATGGAATAAAAGAGAGAATGCTCTTTAAGTTCTTTTAAATTAAGTCTATAGTTATGATTTTAAGTTTGAATTTCTCTATAACTAAAGAATTGATTTATCTTTATAATTATAGCCTCATCTAAAGAAAAGCCCAAGGAATTGAATTATGTTATTAAAGTAGTGAGTATTAGTTCAAAACATTCTTTTTCGTCATTTGTATTATGTGGTTGTTTATGTTGTTTTCAAAAGGCTAGAGCCTGATGCTATCTCACTACCCTTAACTTTATATTGTTTATTATTAGCATTGTTACTACCATTATTTATAATAGTTCTGCCAACAAAATTTAATAATTTGTACTATTTCATGGGCTTTCTTTTTTGCTTTTTCAAAGCTTAGCAATATCTTTATGAAAATGAATTAAATGTGCCTTTTTTCTTCTTATCTAACCTTATTTAATTAATTTCAATTATTGTATTAAAGATACTTTCAGCAAATTTAAAGAGCTTTCATCTAAGTCATCTATAATTAGATAGTTATTAGATCAAATATCAGATGTTCTTGTTAGAACGTTCACTGTATATTATACCCATTACAATTTGTGATGCACTCAACATGAATCTTTACTGAATTTGTTAATCTGATTAAGTGCAAGATTTTTCCTATGTTTTGCATCATTGCCATGAATTTTGTTCCAATTAGACGAAATCAAATGAATATTTTAAAAAAAAATTAAATTAGACTAATAATTCAGACATCAAACAAATATATATCTCAGGTTTGATTTGAAAACAGATACCTAAAATACGAATAATATCAAAAGATGTGTAGGCTTAAAGTATCCGGTAAGGTAGAGGTGCACAAGCTGCAGCCTACTACGTGTTGATGTGCCGTCTATGTAAGCTTCCAAACTCAATAAAATTCTCTTTTTTTAAAAAAAAATTATGTTGAAATTTTAAATTGCATATTTGTGTCATCACTTTTTGATGCGATCACTTTGCACAGATTGTCTTATAAATCTATATAGTTTCTCAATTGTTTTAACAGTTATTGCTGCATAATTCATTGTTTTAAAATCCCAAAATTTTTAATGTGATACACGAATTTCAAATTTGAGTAATCACTTTTCAGTCTGCTTTATTTTTGCCCATTTCATCTTAAATCCAAATAACATTCCAAAAAAAAAATATAAATTTGAATTTTTTTTGCCTTTGTAACTGCTAATTTCAAAGTGGTTACTTAAATCCTGATATATTAATTATGATTCATGTTTTAAAAATCATGCGTTTAATTTATTACTTTTTAACGTGCTTTGTTTGTGTTGATTTTATTATAATCTTTTTTTCCCTTTGTTTATAGGCAGTTATTACTATACTTTTCCACAAAATTTTGGCAGTCCCATATTTTTACTTCGCTATTATAGTAACGCGAGAGTTTCAAATCGCACATTTAAATAATCACGTTTTTTACACATTCTGTTTTTGCCAGCTCCATTGTAAATCCATGTTATTTTTCAATAATTTTTGGCAGTTTTTGCCTTGCAATAAAAATTTGTTGCAATTTGCTTTATAAATTATAAATTTTTATTATGACATTTGAATTTTAAATTTACCTGCTTTATTTGTGATAATTATTATTATTTTTTTTTTTTTTGTTGCAATTATAGTGATGTTTATCTATGTACTTTTAGCGATTCCTTTACTTAAGCTATGTTTTTATTACGATATGCAAACTTATCTAATCGTACGTTATGATTTATTTTATTTTTTTACATGCAATTTTTCTCTCTCAATCGTGGGTAATAGTCAAAAATAGATCAAAGTTTTGTGGTAAATTGAATGGGATTTTCATCTTAATTTCTATGAGCAGGGCGAAAATTACTTGACATATTTTGTAGTAACTGATTTTCTCTTTGAGTTAAATCTTTCAATGTAACGTAATCTTTCAATTCTTCCTCATTGATGTTTAAACGAGCATTATTGGCTTTTTCTTCTTGTACAGCAATTAATATTTCTGACTTTAAATTATCAGACACTTTTTTTTCCTTAAAAGATCTTTCTAGGGATATGGGAAATACTGTACACAACACGTTATCCGGAAATCGGAAAACCAAAAAACCGGAACGAAATTCGATAAATTTTCCCGCCATTTTTTTAAAAAATATGTTTTTTTCCTCATAAGATTTTAGGATTTTTCTTTCTTTCTTGAAAGATGTTTACCTTGCCATCATTTTGGAAATAA